AAACCCCTCCCTCCCCCTTCCGGCAGTCCTCTCCTCCGCCCACCACACCTTTAGAAACCTCCCAAACCTCCCCCCCCCGGCTTCCCGGGTATAAAGCCGTCGAACCGAAAACCAGGAACCTTACCCTCCATATAACATGTACAGATTATTATCTCTTCTTTCCCTTTATTGTACCTTGTCACCGTCGTCCCCCTTACGAGTAACTCCCTTGTCAAGTTGTGTTTGAGCAACCGGCCAAACCTTCTGTATATACACACCTACACCTCTCTTCTCTCTCCCTCTCTCTCTCTTAGTATTATTATTATTTTATCCCATATACATGCACTATTTTTTCCTCTCCCGCCGTCCATCCTCCCTTGAACCCTGTCAATGTCACCCTGATCCCTTTTGGCATCCTCTTCTGGGGTCGGCGCAATCGAAGTTCGATGCGGCAGTCGCTTTCGCTCTTGTTTTTTCACCCCTCCCCCCTTCTCTCTCCCACGAGGTCAGGACCATAAATGAGCCCATGATTCCTTCCTTTCATCTTTCCCTCCTCTCCATCCGCACGACGGTACAGAATATTCAATCGTCCAAGAACCATATACCAGCCCTCCTCTCCCCCCCCTCCCTTCCCTCCATTCCCCCCCCCCGTGTCAGCTCTCTCCCCTGGAAGCTTCTGAACTTCATCGACCTCATATCCTTGGCGTCTTCAGACCATACCCGTACGAGTCTGCGCTGACGTCCGCGTCCGGGGCCTACCCACCCCTCCCTCATCCCTCGACGTCGACGGGAAACCTAGTCGGCTGCCAATCTTGCATACCTACCGTCCAATAGCCGACAACCATTGTTCGACTGCAGGCAGTTGGATACGGAACGAGGCAGGCCCATCCATCCTCTGACCCGGTCTCGGCCATAAGAGAAGGCAGAGGCTAGCCCTCGGCCGTCATCAGCAGACGTCTCCTTCCACCTCGTGTGCGGGGAGAAGCGTTGACGGACTCCCCCCCTCCCCCCCTCCCGCTGCCAGCACCCGAGACGAGAACCGAGACCATGGCCGTCGCCTGTGCACACATGTTCAACGTTATCAAGTCGGACAACACCTTGGTCCAGTGGGTGTGTCACCTATGCCGCTCTGGCCCCCACTGGGCCATCTTCGAGTGTGCCTATTGCAAGCTGCAGCTGTGCCGGGCTTGCACGCACTCCAGCTGACCGACCGACTGAACCACATCCCTGCAACTTGTAAGCCGGACGTGTTGGCCATTGGCTTTCCCCCCATACTGCCCGTCTTGCTCTCGCCCTCCTCTCTCTCTCCCCTTCCTTGATGTCGTCACTGTGTCCGGTCCGCCCCAAGGGTGAAACGACGGTAGGCTGACGTTTCTGGATGCGCAGGTCCTTTTACGAAGTCATATATATGAAATATAGGAAATCTTTCACGCATCCACCTCCCTACGGCCGTCACGGATGCGGATCCCGTCCATCTGAGACTGGGGACTGTTCTGGTACGGAACCCGCTCACCTCGACAGAAGTCGGCAGACCCTTCATCTCCTCACCCACCTCACCTTGACCCGGCAGTGGCGGGACAGAAGAGAAAGTCTTTTCCCTCAATTGTGCTTGCCTCCCCCTCCCCTCCCCCTCCCCCCTCCCTCACCTTCTCCCCCGCGCCTCGCCGGGTACGGCCGAGTGGCGTACGTTGCATCCCACCTTCATGCAGACCGGCCGTTGGAGCATCTGCCTTTCTTGGCAATCCAGCAGGGGTCTCTGCTCTCCCATGTGTACCCAGAACCCCTTTGGCCAATCACATGGCACATGGCACATGGCTGCGGCTTGGCGACATGTCGGGAGCTGTAAAATGGGCTTTGAATTTTTTCTGTACATATTTCCGGGGATGTTGTCTCTGATCCGACCAACGCCGAATTATGTTGAGATGGGGTAGAGGAGACGAGAGCATACTTTTATATGCCTTTCATTAGCACCATACCTATATTTTTTCCCTCTCCTCTTCTTTCTCTTTCCCTTTTTGTCTGGCGGCTTTTTTTTTCCCCCTCCATGGCAGCGTCGTATCAGCATTCTGGCGTCTCATTGCATCCCGCATTTTCTGATCTCGGTTCCCACATTTATAGACAAGGTCAGTTTTTTTTTTCTACTTCTCTTCTCCCCCCTTATTCCCAAGATCCCACCCCTCCTATATCATAGAGAGAGAGAGAGAGAGAGAGAGGGAGAGAGATGTTTTTACACCACCGGTGTACGCATGTTCTGCAGGTGAGAAGCCATGGAGATGATGGTATGGATAGGTATAAGTGATATGCTATTACTCGGCCAATACAGGCCACGACGGGCCAACCCGTCGTTCCGGAAGCTGACGTTGGAGATCCGGACAAATGAGACGTAGGTAGAGGTTATGCATCTATCTTTGTGTGAATGGGGTCGTCCCGGGCGCCCGCCGCCCCCTCCCCACCCTCCTGAGTCGACGTGTGTGTTAGATGGTGTTCGATGTGCTTATTTTTTATTTATTTACGTGACTGGTCAAAACTAGTCTGCAAGCAGATCGGGATGACAGCTGACTGAATTCAGCAAAGATGATTTTGAGCTTTGGTTTTTTTGGGAGATGAGAGGTGGGAATCATCAGCCTGTGGGATGAAATCTATAATATAGATGCTCCGTCCAATTATTCATCCTCCCCTAAAAAAAAAATTCTACTACATATGATGCTATCCGTATTGCGATTCCCTTGCCGTTGCCGGAAACACAGCTATGCTGTCTGGGCGGTAGGAGGGTGCGAATAGGAGTAGAAGCGTGCGCTGGAAGGGTCCTTGAGAGGCCAGTCCCAGACGGGCCTCGCGTCGTTGCGGCGGGTGACGGCGACGGAATCGCCGACGGATATCCGCAGGTCTCCCGCCGCGTCGCCGTCCCCGGCGTCCGAGCCCGGCGTCTCCCCCTCGCTGCGGCGCAGGAGGAGGGTGTCGGAGGCGAGCTGGTCGGAGAGGAAGGCGTAGCGTCCGAAGACGGGGGTGTAGGCGGCGCCGGGGTCGACGCGGCGGTCCGGCATGAGCTTCTTGAGCAGGGTGCCCTGCTCGCCTAGGGCCGGCCGTCCGGCGTCGTAGTCGACGTTGAGGGAGGTGCAGCGGCCGCACATCTTGGACATGGACAGGGCCGGCCGGCCGCGGACGGACAGTTCGGCCCAGTAGTCCTCGTCGAAGGGGGAGTCGCCGTCGACGACGATGTTGGGGCGGAACTTGACCATGTCCACGTCCTGCTGGCCGCGGGCCATGCGCGCCGACACGTCCGCGAGCGAGGCCTCGGTCGTCACCAGGTACGGCGCGCAGTCGGAGAATCGGAGCCACTCCGGTTCCTTGGCACCACCGGCGCCGGTGGCGCCGGTCTTGTCCCCGCCGACCAGGCTGGTCACGATGGATGACAGCCATCCGCCGCCGCCGCCGCCGCCGCCGCTGCTGCTGTTCGAGGCGGCCGCGTGCCTGTCCGCCGCGGACGGGTTCGAAGGCGCCATGCTCCCCAGCACCGGTCTCCGCTGGTCACCGATGTAGAGCAGGGCGACGGGAAAGCCGAAGCAGGCCGAGAACCAGTCGTCGTAGCGCTTGCCGACGCGGTACGCCGACACGACGCTCTGGTGGATGTTGACGACGGCGCGCTCGAGCCTGGTCGTGTCCGGCTCCAGCGGCACGTGCAGGGTCTGGTCGTGTTCAGGACGGTGCGCGGGCGGCCGGGCAGCCGCTGGCGAGCCGGAAGTTGAGGGGGGGGAGGAGGAGGAGGACGGGGGGGGGTCAAGCCTGGGCTGCTGGTACCGTACGCGGATGTGCGACCCGTCATCGGTCATGTCCTGGTGGAACAGGGAGCACTGGGGGAAGCGGGACAGCTGCATGTGCCGCAGCTGCGCGTCGTCGCCGTCGCCGTCGACGCGGCATACCGTGAATACGCGGTCGTGTCGGAGACCCTGGGGTCCGAGGTCGGCCGTCTCGAGAGGGATGCCTCGCAGGCCCTTGATGGGATATACCCAGAGCTATTTGACGATACCGAACAAACAACATTGTCTAAGTGCTCGTGTCTCTGCTGCTGGGCTACCCGGGAGATGGCAGGGAGCCGGATATGTGTGTGTGTGTGTGTACTTACAGCTGTTACCTTCATCTTTCTCTTATTCCCCGATAGATGAGGGTTCGAGAGTTCGTAGTCACTCAATCTCTCTCTCTCTCTGTCGCATACTCTGATCCTCTTAGAGGAGGGATTATCTCGTCTCTGACGTCTCTTGATGATGGATAAGAGGATAGGAGTCAGTAAGGTGGTGGTGTGTCGACGAGAAAGAGATGGCCCTTACACGGGGGAGAGGCAGGCGAACGACGATGGGGCCCCGTCACTATCAGGTAGAGAGATCAGATAGCTGCGACGGTGGGGTCGTGCGGGCGGGGAAGAGGAAGAGGAAGAGCCTGACTGGTCCTGGAAGATTTCCCATTTCCCATTGCCTGTTGACAGTCTTGGGCGAGTCACTGTTTACGGTCCAAGTACGTGCATGTTTTTCTTCTTTCCTTTTCTTTTCTCACCCGTATCTCTTCCCGGTCTTCCTCTGCTCCGTAACACTCACAATGGGAGCGATAGAAGATGTCTCACGACAGAGTGGTTACGAGACATCTCGAGGTCTCGGTGCCTGATCCGGGATCGGCCTGATGCTGCCGGACTCGGTCGAAGGAGGATAAGGGGATACTATCAGATGGCATCTGGATCTCTTGGCATCAATCAACTCGCCTATCTTCTCTCCCTCTCTCTCATTCTTATTGACAAGTATCTTTTTTTTCCGTCTCCCTTCTTCTTTCCCGTCGATACCCTTCTTGATTTAACATTCTTGTCTTGGAAACTGAAAATTTTACTCGTTTCGTCTCTGCACTTTGACTCTTCAGGTGCATAGGTACAAGCAGATAAGCGTACGAAAGGGTGTATGGGCAAGCTCATCTGGTGGATTGACGTCTTGGAATCCCCCCATGACCTCATACATGTATGGATCTGGACGGCACACACACTCTTACTCGCTCACTCCGAGAAGGGCGAGCCAAGAAAGAAAGAAGAGGGAAAAAAACAAAAAAGGCAAAGATAGCACAGATGATGGCATGCAAGCCATGCGCAGTGGCGTAACATGTGCGGCCCGGAACCAATCGCCGTCGTCAACTGGCTCTCGAACCCGATGGATAACGAGACCTGCAAGAAGGCAGGTCGAGCCCGATTGGGCTGGATAAGGGAAAGGGAGGAAGCAATCAAGAGAGGTGGCGAAGAATTGCGATGCGGTAGGTAGGTAGCGAAGCTGTAACTGTGACTTGAAGGCATCGGCGAATCGCTCGGCTCCTCCGCGGCACCCAAACTTCTCGCCCGCCCTCGTGTCTAGCACACGATGAAGGGAAACTTGCAACTAACTTGCCACTATCACGCTACTACGCTGGAGAGGGACAGAGACAGGGACAGGGACAGAGAGAGAGAGAGAGAGAGAGAGAGAAGGGGGAGAGTATCAGATACATCTTGTATGAGGAGTGAATTCGAGAAAATCGGATCAGATCAGTCACGTCATCATTCTCTCTTTGCGTGGGTGGCCGACCGATGGTCTCCCCTCTCTCTCTTATTGATGGATGCATGTATGTATTCTTCTCTTCTCCCCCCAAGAGACGGAGAAGGAAGATGTTAACAAATGATTGATGAAAG